CCCCCTGCCCCCCCCGCAAGACCGGTCCCGCGCGGGCCGGCCGGTTGCGTCAGTCTCGCCGCCTCCCCCGGGGATGTTGCGGGGCGCCTGTGCAGAGCTCTACGAGCCTGGCGCCCCGGCATCCGCCCCTGGAGCCGGGCGAGCGCGCACCGCCCCCCAAGGAATCTTGCCCGACGAGCTCGGACTGGCCCAGACTCGGCGCAGCCACGGAGTGGGAGCTGGGGTGGAGCCCGCGGGGAGGGTGGCGCTAGCTCAGGACCCCTCTGCCAGGGCTGGGGGTGGCTGGCGAACCGAGCACAACTCAGCCCCGAGGCTGGGGGCTGGGAGAGGCTGGCCGGTGGCCCCCTAAGGCAGCTCCGCTCAGGACAAATCCTGGCTGCCTGGAGCCTTCCTGGGGGGCACAGGGGAGCAGCCCCCAGGCCTGCTGGCTCTCATCGTCTTGGTCCCCGTGTTCACCGGAGGGCCCCCCACTTAAAATGGGCCGTGGAGTCTCCACCTGTGGGGGGAGCTGGTGGTGCCCCCACCCGCCAGGCTCTAGGACCGGTAGGAGATCCCACTGGCCCCACCTGCCAGAGCCGGCTGGCGTCTCCCTCCCCAGCCTGGCCAGGGCCTCGGGGCCAGTTCCCAGCACTGGGGGCAGCCCTCAGCCCAGACATGCCCCACCCCTGTGACCGCCCAACTGGGACCCCCACAGCGTCCTCCCCCAGGCCTGAGCAAAGGCCCGACCTGCTCACCCCCACGCCTGGTGCCGGGCCGCCCTGCCCCCACCAACCAGGCTGTCCAGCTGACTCCCGTGTCCTGGCCCCCAAGGCCGCCCCAGGATCCTCCCGCAGGTGGTGACCACAGCCACCATCACCCCTCTGGGGGCCGTGTCCCCAAAGGGCTCCAGCACTGCTGACCCACACCTCAAACACCCGCTGAGGGGCCCCCCCGCCCCACCTGCCAGTGCTGTGGACACCCCTGCTGCAGCCCCGTGAGCAGGGCCAGCAGGCCGCCTGCCCTCGCCGGCCGGTGTGTGTGCTCTGGACACCCTGCTGGCCGGGCCCTGCTCCTCGGCCTCTTGCCTCCATCCCGTGCGTCCTGTGACGCCCCTCCCTGGAGAGGGGCCGTGTCCCGGGTTCCTGTGCAAGAGCTAACCCCACGCCTGGAGGGGGGCCCAGCAAAGTCCCGAGGGGCCTTCGAGAAGGCCTGGAGAGCTTAGAGGAGCGCTGAGCAGCCTCAAGTGAGGACACAGCAGGGACGCACAGGGGGGAGGGGCAGGGAGCGTCCCTGGCCTCGGAGCCAGCCCCAGCCAAGGGGTGGTCAGAGCTGCCCGGCTGCCGGGCCCCACGCCCGCAGCAGTGGAGGCTGCCCTGGCCGCATGGCGCCACCCAGCCCGCCCAGCCCTGCCCCAGGAGCCCGGCCGTGGAGCACGCAGGGTCCTCAGCGAGGGGCCCCAAGGACTGCGGTCAGGGGCCAGCGTCTGCCCTCAGCGCGCTCTCCCGCCCCCGCCCGCCTGAGCCCCACCCTCCATGTGAGCCGCTCCGGCCTGCGCACTGGGCCTGCTGCCCACTCAGGGCCTTGGCACACGTCGGCCCCCTGAAGCAAAGCCCGCGGCTCCCTCGCTGCCGGCAGAGACAATGCCCGCCCTGCACCGCCCGCCCGCCGCCCGCCCCCGCAGCCGGACTGCGGCCCAGCGGAGGGCAGCGCTGGCTCCACTGCTCACCGGCGTCGGCATCTTTGAACTTGATGGACCTGCGCCGGGGCAGGCGGGGGCTGGCGGCCACCTCAGCCAGGAGCCCGGAGCCGCACAGGCCCAGGCTGCCGCCGCGGCTGCGGAGCACCAGCTTCAGCTCCTGGTTCTCCTGGATGAGCCGCACCAGCCGCCGCAGCTCCTCGTTCTCCTGTGCCAGCCGCTGGATCTCCTGCCGCAGCCCCTCATAGCTGCCGAGGGGGGACATGCCGGGCGGCGGCCGGCCGTGGCCGGGGCTCCTGCTCAGGCTCGGGGCCCACCATTGTGAGGTCAGCAGCCGCCCTGCCCGCCCACCGCATTCCGGCCGAGAGCCAGGCGGGCAGGTCCACCCGCTGGCCTCTAGTCCCCAAGGGGGGAGCCTGGGGGCCCCGCCGGGGCTCCAGCCCAGCCCAGGCGGCCAGAGGGGCCGAGCTCAGACACCCCACCCGGCAGCGGGGTCACGGGAGGGGGCCGGCGGCCTTGAGCAGGAGAGGCGGGGTGGTGTCCGCAGGGTCCCGAGGGAGGGGCTGGACACGGCAAGAGCAGGACAGAGCCTCTGGCATGGGGGAGTGAGGAGGGGGACGCAGGTGGGCGGCGCGTGTCAGGGTGGGCACATCCCCAGGCAGCAGGTGCCAGGCAAGAGGGTCTCAGCCACTGGGAGGGGGCGGGCGGTGGGCAGGCCCCTCAAGAGCCTGGCCAGCCTGAGCAGCGCAGCTTCCTGGGGAAGACCACTGGGTCTGCCAAGGGGAGCGTGTCCTGAAGGAGCTCTGCAGGCCGAGCCCTCCGCCCCTGCTCGGGGACTGGAAACTACAACCCCAGCAGCCCGAGGGAGAGAACTGCGGGGACCGCGGGCGCAGCTGAGCAGCGGTCTGGGACTTTGGGGGGTAAACAGGGCTGGGGGCGCCCGCAAGGGCTGTCTGGGGCGGCCTCTGGACCGTGTGACTGGGCTGTTAGTTTGTGACCGGAGCTCTGGGTCAGCCCAGCGGCTGAGGTAGTCCAGTCGCCTTTATCTCTCGCCCTTTCCCTGGGTGTTCCTTTCCCCTTCCCCTTTTGTCAATAATCCCATCACCGCCCCTTTTGTGTGTCTGAAGGGCGGGGGCCGGGTCCCAGCTCACTCTGGGGTGCCCTGTGACAGGTCCACTGAGAGTCCATTTGGAGGACTCTTCCGCCATCCGAGGGGCAGTGCCAGTGGCCTGGCCTGTGTGCTCCCACCCGGCCACCCACCCGGCCGTGGGTCCTCTCCCATCCTTGATTCCAGCTCGGTGCTGCCAGGGAGCGAGCTACCCATGCGCCCAGCACCTGCATGGCGGCCTCTCCTCAGGCAGGCTTGGGCGGGAGCAGGGCAGCCCACCGGCCCTAAGAGCAGTGACCATCTGGGTGGGCCCCGTGAGTGCGGTAGGCCTGACCCTGCAGGTCCTTGGTGGAAAGCTGATAGAACTGTTACTGACCGGCTGCCAGTGGGGGGGGCGGGGGAACCCCTTACCCTGGGGCTCCACAGTCTGCTGTGGGGAGCCGGTAGAGCCCTTTTATGTGGCACTGTAATTCCTGGAGCGTGGGATGGACCAATCACCTGTGAGCTATGAGCTGATTGGTGATAAATGGTCCAATCAGCCACAAGATTAATAAAATGGTCCAATCAGACTTGTGGGTGGGGCCCTCTGAGCGCACTTAAGCTGG